CCATACTCCAAGAGGAGAGGGACTCACCAAAGAAACCAGGATAACAAGAAACTCTCCACTCTTTCAGGTAAAGTATAGGGTGTGTAATCGAAAAGGCCACACCTAAGCAGAATGCTTTAAACTAAAGCACTGCAATTACCGGGATAAGAAATTCCACACAGAGGAAAACTGTAGGGAAAGAATTGGCGGCCAACGTCAACCTGGTAAATACTAACGTGGCCAGCGGGAAGATAACTCTTCCCATACTAAAGTCAACAATAGCCCAAATTTACTGTGGGACACCGTCAATCCCAGCACCATTTACAAATTTTTATTCTTTTTTTTTACCAACACTTCCAGCCCAATCAACCGAACCATGCCAACTCCATACTCCCATAATACACAGATAGCGGTATTCCCAAGGCAGTATCAAAAATTCCGAAATACGAATCATTTAAGCAAATGTGAGAGAATTCCACACCAATGTTGGAGAACTAACTCATCAAAGAAATAAACAGATGATATGCCTCCGCCCAACTATGCACATATCGCAGGGTATTCAAACTGGATAAGGAGAGATAGAAATATGCAGGGAGGAGGAATTAAGTCTTACTGTAATGCAACTACAGATAATAGACCTTGCTTTAACGGGCGTCATAGATTTAATACTCTTCAGACTGGTGAACAATTCTGCTTTGTGGATGATACCGGCTGCCATCACAAGGGACACTACTTTTAGATGTTTTAATGCAAAACCTCGACCATCTTATGACCACCTACAACTCCATCACTTTGTGCTATTGGAGACCTATATTATCACAGAGTACAGTCTGCTTCTGATGAACTAATGACAGTCCGTAACCTACAGAACTTTGTTGACGTTCCAACACATCGTCACTAAACCCAGTTGTTACTGATCTACCTTTCCATTCGGTAAAGTCTGCCCCACTTGAATATGTCGGAACATCTGAACACGAAGCTGTTTTAATTAAGATTAGCCTAAGAACACCTAAGCAGGAGACTACGACAAGAATGATGAGGAAGTGGGAAAATACAAACTGGACAGGATTCAGTGAGGATCTGTTTCGTATAAAATGGGACAATGGAATCCAGGGCAACATATATCAGAAGGTAAATTCATTCACTTCTATTTCATTGAAACTACAAAATCGTTTTAAATGAAACTACAGAATAGTTTTAAATGGAATGTACTCCGAAATGGGCCATTCAGCAATGGGCGAAAACAACAACAACAACAACAAAAAAAATAAATAAAAGAGAATAAAGTAGGAACGAAATTATGGTGGAATATTGTCAAAGATAAGCAAGGCATCACACAGGATGAAATATCTCACCCTTAACAACAAAAGTTGGTACACTAACACTAAGCTCAGAAGAAAAGACATGCACTCGTTTGCCAGCGCATCTGTTTCAAGTAAAATGTCAATTCCATGTCCTGAACATAAACCATCCATGTTTCCTATCTTGAACAATAATAAATAAGCAGATTTACAAATGAGAAAGAAGTGGAGAAGCTCCTGCGCAATGGAAAGACGAGGAAAGCTACAGGCCCTGACGGTGTTAACACTCAGCTGCTTTAGAGGTGGGGAAACGAGCTGCCATCGCCTCTCGCTTTAATTTTTAACACATTGCTAAGATCCTGCATATGGCCTACACTTTGGAGACAAAGTAACGTTGTCCCCGTCTTTAAAAAAAGGGGGGGGGCAAATCCGGACCAAAAAACTGTTGACCAGATTCCTTGCTGTCATCAGCAAGATACTTGAAAAAATAATATCTTCACACCTAACAAACTACTTAAACAAAAACCATCTACTGTCTACTTGGCAATATGGCTTTCGGAAGAACCGCTCTGCTGCCGACCTGTAGTCGCAGATGACTGCAGACTGGTCAGCTGAACCTGACTGCAGACCGAGTATGGCATTTCGGTTTGTTAAGCACGTTAAAATCATCTGCAGTGGATGAGAGTTGCTCTCAATGGAAAACACTCTGCTTACTACGATATCAAAGCAGGTCTCCCTCAGGGAAGCATATTGGGCCCTATGTTGTGAAATGTTTTACTCAATAAATTGCGCCACCTCATTCCAGGGACCAAAGCATTTTTGGATGATGGAACACTCTCCATTAGGTATGAGCCCAGGGAACAGGATGCCGCCATAGAGGATCTCGGTGAGAGACTCGCACAAATTTCGATTTTTTTTTTTTTTTTTTTGGGGGGGGGGGATGGTTGGTCTCTTTTGCCCGAATAAAACCTTGCTTATGGTTGCCGAAAGGACTAACAGTGATATCCAAGTTAACTTCAATGGGAAAAAATAGGACCAC